CCTTCCACAAAATCGATGTGGTGATATTGGTTGTGGACCAAGTCCAAAAAGAGGCGGCATTGGCAGCCTTCTAATTGCTGCTGCTGGTCGTCGTTACAGTAGGGCAACATCAGCAACGGTGATGGCGATGATTGACGGAACATCATAGGCTGCAGCTCTGCCAGGGTTCTCCTCCATCTTGTACAGACTGCTCGAAAACGGATTGCGAGCTTTAATTTGATTAACCTTTGGCCGATTAGAGCCAACAGCTCCCCGGGCAACTCACTCCAATCGTGACCCACTTGTTCTGCTTCTCCTACTCTGTCTTGTTTTCCCTTCATCATCGTGTTCGCCATCGCCGGCGATAAAACCTAGCCGGATAGCAGCTGATTCGACCGGTATCTGTTGGGTCAATTTCAAAGGATTTCAATATGATTAGGCGTTTACTTTACGTAAAGTCTAATTATTTATAAATGTTGTGAATCCCCCTAACACAAATCGAATCCGAAACCAAAACAGAGAGCAGGGGTAGGTAGGCAACTCCGACACCGATTAGGAGGAAAAACTTAAACCCCTCCAGAGCACACAAAATCCGGATGAATCAAAAGGGTAAACAATACTAAACATTAAATCAAATAAATATGTTTGATTTAGTTACCAGATTCATCCAACCAGCTCGAAGATGGCTTGCTCGCTCCTCTGTTCTCTGTTATCTCTCTCAACCCCCAGGTATGTTCTTCCCCAAAACTGATTCCACCACCACTAGGTCGTCGGTCAATCTTCGTGGGTTCCTGACCAGCTAACAACCTGTATCATCTCTTCAACTCTGGCTCTCGGAAGCCGGAGGTTTATTAAGTTAGTTATGCCTCAGATCTCGAACTGGAAGAAGCTGAAACCTCTCTCTCTCTCTCTCGCTTTTTCCTTTATTTTGCAACTTATCCCTATATCTCGTAAACGGTAAAAGTGTTCTCCGAATAGCCATTATAGAGTATTGACCCTATGCCCTACCAAAATCAGACAAGGGAAAGGAGCATACCGGTCCGGCCAAAGTCGGGCAACAACCCAAGATGAGAGACCAGTCAACAACCCAAGGCTCTTCAAAGACTACTAAGGCGAAGATTGGCAAGCCCCCAGATAAAGGGACAAGTCTCCATAGGAAGATTGATTTCCAGAAATTGCTTGTCACTCCAGTAAAACTGCTGAAAGTCGTGATACTGGTGTGGAGTTGACGGCCATGACCGTTGATCACCATTGAATGTCGATCCCTGGATCGCGTGGAGTTCCTTCCCTTATTCGATATGATTAAGGTTTTCTCTTCGAACTGCCGTGGTGCTAAGCACCACAAATTCAAGTCCTCTCTAGAGTTGTATAAAGCTACTCATCATCCCGATATTGTGTGCATTCTCGAACCACGGATTAGTGGGAAGGATGCTGAAGATGTGATTAAATCTGTGGGCTAAGATTCAAAGCTCGTCTCTGAAGCCATAGGCTACAATGGGGGGATTTGGGTGCTGTGGAACAAGGATAAGATCACCATCTCGGAGATTTTGATTGAACGTCAGTTCATCCACCTCTCTTGTACCTTGCCCAGCAAGGAAGTGTGTCACCTCTCGATTGTGTATGCCAACCCCAACGAGTACATGAGGAGAGATTTGTGGGCGTCCCTGAGGAGTATCAGTAGGAGAACTAAAGTTCCTTGGCTTTGCATCGGCGACTTTAATTCCATCACTGGTGCTTCTGAAAAACAGGGAGGGGCCCCTTTCAGCTTTGCCAAAGCTAGAGCCTTTACGGACTGTATCAGTGACTGCGAGTTGATTGATGTGGGATACATTGGACCTAGGTTTACCTGGTTTACTAGTGGGAGCAAGATTAAGGAAAGACTGGATAGGGGACTTTGCAACCTGGCCTGGCAGCAAAGATTCCCCCAATCTACCACCTTCCATCTTGTTAAAATCAAATCTGACCACCGCCCGATCCTCACATGCACGGGAAGCGAGCCTCTGAAGCAAAATTTGGTGCGTCGATTCCAATTTCTTGCTCCTTGGCTTGCTCATAAAGATTTTGATCCCTTTGTTAACTCTGCTTGGAATAGTTCACATCTGTTTCCCCTCTCTTTGTAGGAGTTGGCCTTGAAGCTCCGGAAATGGAACAAAGATGTTTTTGGGAACATCTTCAGGCGCAAGAAAAGGCTAGTTAAGGAGTTGGAAAGCCTGGAATTTTTAAATAAACGAGCGGCTACTGATCTCTCAATGCGTAAGGAGCAAGCAACGAGAGAAGAATTGGATGACACCTTATGGCAAGAAGAAATCCTTTGGCTGCAGAAGTCGATGACTGATATGGTGATTCACGACGACCAAAACACAAGGTTTTTCCATAACAGTACTCTCAGCAGGAGAAAAAGGAACCGAATCACATGTTTAGAAGCTGCTAACGGGGAGTGGGTTACCAACCCGGAATCCCTTCTTGCTATGGCCAGAGACTTCTATGTCGACCTCTTCACCAAGGATGATGGGCTGTCTACAACTTATAACCCAGCGTGCTTCCCTGAAGTTGAAAACACAAGGATGACTGCCATGGGGGTCCCTCCGAGCCCCTTTGAGATTAGAGAGATTGTGAAAGGAATGCAAGGATTGAAAGCTCCTGGAAAGGACGGTTTCCACGTGGTCTTCTACCAACGCTGTTGGAATCTCATTGGAAGGGACCTCTCTAACTTTATCCTTTCTTGCTATGCTAACCCTGCGAATGTTCGTTCTATTAATGAGACTCTGCTGGTCCTTATTCCTAAAGTTGATGCTCCAATTTCAATGAGTCAGTTTAGGCCTATTAGTCTTTGCAGTGCAACGTATAAAATCCTTGCTAAATGCCTTGCTAACAAGCTTAAGCTGTTTATGAAACACCTTGTGGGAGCAAACCAATCTAGTTTTGTTCCGAATAGGCACATCACTGATAATATTCTGATTTTGCAGGAAACAGTTCACACCATGGAAAGAAGAACTGGAAAGAAAGGGCTCATTCTTCTCAAGATCGACTTAGCTAAAGCATATGATCGGATTGACTGGAGCTTTTTAGAAGAGACTTTGTCAGCTACCGGGATGCCCATGAACTTTATCTGCCTTGTGATGCAATGTGTCACTTCTCTGGAGATGCAAGTCCTCTGAAATGGTGGGGAGACCGAAAGCTTCAAGCCAACCAGAGGCCTACGTCAGGGATGTCCCCTATCTCCCTACCTTTTTACTTTATGTATTGAGCGTCTAAGTCATTGCATTGCTTTAGAGGTTAAGAATCAGGACTGGAAACCTATTAGACTTGCTCCGGGAGGTCCCCCCTTGTCCCACCTTTTCTTCGCAGACGACCTAGTGTTGTTTGCTGAAGCCTCTCCTAGTCAGGCAAAGACCATCCTGGGCTGCTTTGACCGTTTCTGTGCTGCCTCAGGGGAGCTTGTTAGTAAAGAAAAGTCCAGAATTTTCTTTTCCAACAATACTAGGGATCAGGTTAAGCGGAGTATCTGTAGTAGCATTGGTATCCAGGCCACGACTGACTTAGGGAGATATCTTGGTGTCCCGGTCTTGCATGGTAGGATTACTAGGTTTACCTATAGATACATCCTTGAGAGGATCGACAAAAAGCTCTCCACCTGGAAAGCCAGAACACTCTCCATTGTGGGAAGAGTTACTCTTGCTCTCTCAGTGTTAAATGCACTCCCCAACTATGTCATGCAAACCACCTCCCTCCCTATCTCTGTTTGTTAGGATATAGATAGGAGAGTTAGGAGCTTTGTGTGGGGCTCTCATGAGGGGAAAAGGAAATTCCATTTGTTGTCTTGGGAGACCATATGTAAACCAAAATGTCAGGGTGGGCTTGGGTTGAGATCTGATAGAAGTTTGAACACTGCTTATATGATGAAGCTTGGATGGCAGATTCTGAACAATGCTAATGATTTATGGGTGCAGATTATCCAAAACAAGTATTTCAAGTAAAGGGAAGGCAGAATTATCTCCATGAAGACTAGCAATCACTCTAACCTTTGGAGAACAATCAAAAAAGCCCTACCTCTGGTGCAAAGTGCTTCTAGTTGGAGCATTAGAGATGGGGAAACGACGAGCTTCTGGAGGCATCCCTGGATTGACTATGGTATTATCCTCGATGATGAGTTGCTGCAGGACATCCCCGAGAATGAAAGAGCCTCTGTAGTCTCGTGTTGGGTTGATGGCGAGGGTAACTGGGACTGGCAGAGACTCAATGGCCTTCTGCCACCTTGGATGCTTGCTCTTATTGCAGGTATGGAGGCTCCTAATCGCGAAATGGGCGAGGACAAGATGATATGGGGCATCAAAAGCGACGGACGGTTTCGACTTAGTTCAGCTTACAGCCTCGCTGCAGACCATCTCGAAGTGGAAAGTGATGAGAATTGGAAGAAATTGTGGAAGTGGAAAGGGCCAGCTCGGGTGAAACATTTTCTCTGACTTGTGATCCATGAAAGATTGCTTACCAACAAGGAAAGACTGAAGAGGAAGCTATCCTCGAATGGTAACTGTAACCACTGTATGAATGCAGAGGAGTCTACTGAGCACATCATTCGTCACTGCCATAAGACTAAGGGAGTTTGGGAGAAATTCCAATTCTGCGTAAATGAGAAAAGGCCGGATATCCCCTTCAGGCAATGGATGATCAGCAACCTAAGTAGCGAAGCTGTTGGTGTCGAATTTGGCCTTATTTGCTGGCATCTGTGGAAGCAGAGGAACGAGGAATGTATGGATGGGAAGGGGTTCTCGGAGGCCATGCTACAACGCAGAATCAAGGCGTGGTTTCGTATTGTCAAGCAAGCCAAAATGAATGTCAGAAAGTGTTTTGATCATGTTTCCAGACAGCGGGCTGATGTGAACCTTGCTTGGACTCCTCCTCCTAAGGGCTGTGTACAGATCCAATCTGATGGATCTGTCCTCTCTCCTTCAGGAAGTGCACCGGCAGGAGGTTTAATCAGGGATTGTCGAGGGAGGAGCCTGGAAGCTTTCATCTGTAACATGGGTACCTGTACGATCACCGCTGCAGAATTGAAAGGGGCGATTGAAGGACTCAGAATTGCTTGGGACAAGGGGCACATGAAGGTACAACTTCACCTTGACTCTATGACAGCTATTTCCATCATGAAGACGAGCGAGGATGATAGCCATCGGCACGGATTTCTTTCCCAACTGGGGAATTAGTATCTCCCATGTTCATAGGGAATGTAATTTTGGAGCCGATTACCTTACTGGTAAAGGTCATGGGGCCACTTTTGGGACACATCTCTTCGATGTGAGTGATCCGGGGTTAAATCGTTGGATTACGTATGATGTAATGGGCATTGCCCAAACTCGTTCAATTAGTTATGTTAATTAGGACGCTTTTGCGTCCATCTTCCTACCAAAAAAAGAGTATAGACCCTATATGTTGTACAAAGTGTTATTTGCAGTGTTATTAAAACCGATCCGAGCCGGTCGACCCGACCGGTAAAACTGACACTCGGTCACCAAGTCGGCTCGGCACAGTAAAAAAGTCGGAGCAGCTTCAAGAGCGGTTTTTGGAGCGATCGAGGCGGTTAACTGTTGAAATCATTCGAGCAGCTCGTCTGGTTTCTCCATTCCGGCCGAGTGCCAACATACCCAGCGAATGCAACCGCCGACGCTCTCTTCGGCGAACCTAGCTCTTCCCGTCGAACCCAACTCTCCTCGTCGAACTAGCTCCCTTCCCGTCGAACGCTACTCTTGCCAGCGAACCCAACTCTCCCTGTCGCCCAACTCATGGGTGTTGGATTTTTGTGAAGAAGAATCAAGAAAAAAGAAGAAGCAAAGAAATGAAGAGTTTCAGAGAGAGAAGGGGGGGGGGGGGGAGGGAGGGTGTGCGGCGCTGGCGCTTGGTGGGGGTAGGGTTTGGAAGAGAGGGAGAGATATGGTAAGGGTGGGCGGTGCTCTTGCACGCTTAGTGGGGTAGGGTTTAGATAATTTTATTTAATTATAATTATATATAATGCAACATTACAAACCTGGTAAATTTTATTTTAGTCAATACCATATGTGTCTTTTACTTATGATATTATTGTTTATAAGTTATCAATTCTCTAACGGTTTTTAAATGACCCAGCATCGGTTGGCCCACTAAAGTGCAAGCCGTTCATGTTATCGGGTCATGCTCCGGTTCGGTCTGACAACATTGGTTATTTGTGACCCAATTTTTATAAGGAGTGTACATGTTTCGCGTGGTACGGGTTTAATCATTTTAATCACTCGACTCATGCACTACAGCTTGGGAAATATTAACCCCAAACACACCCAAAAAAATTAAAATCCTACGTTTTTTTTTAATGGGTTGGATCGGTTGGCGATATTTTTAAGTAAAAATCCAATTCAGCACAAAATATATAATTATCCTACACCATAAAATATTTTATAACTAATTAAAATTTCATATGAATAAATCGAGGTGAAAGATATCAAAATTCATAAATGTTGTTTGAATTTTAACAAAATATGATTTATTTCAACATATGTCTATTTTTTCACGACATTTGTTGAAATAGGTTAAATATCAATTAAAACCATTCTAAAATAACTTCACTACATTTTTTTACCCTAGTATGGCGTCGGCTGCAATTTCTTGCGCGGCGTCTCTCATCCTCCGACGGAATCATTCCTGACCGGCGTCTATACCGTCAGCCCTTCCTCCTCCGACGGAACTCCAGGTGATCTTCTATTCTTTCCTTCCAATTTATTCTTTGTGCTTCAATGTAAGGTGCTTGCCGCCATTGCATGCTAGAAAACTTCTGTAGTTGTTGTTTAAGTTACATTGTGCTTTCTGAGAAGATACTAATTCTATGAACTTCTTTTACCTACTAATTAATACCCACACCAAAGTAGAGAACCATGTACCGATTGTAGAAAGAGCTCATGGCCAAATCAGATGCATGAGTATTGCAGGATGTTATCGCTTCTTATTTAGCGAAGTTGCGTGAAATTCTTCAGTTGGAAGTAGTGTTGAAAATTGAAAGGTTGACATAGATGAGCTGCTAGTTGCTGATTTCTTGGGTGCAATAGCACACAACTAGAAGAAGAACAGAATGTCATCAGAGTTGATGTGTCATTTCTGTGAATATTATGAAATGAACGTGGTAAAGTTGGTTGATATTGTGGTAGTTAGGCTGATTCTTGTATCTGCAGCTTGTTTGTGACGTGCTTTCAGTTTGATTGATCTTTTTCCTTCTCGTTCCGATATCTTCATTTACCTGTTGTTCATCAACAGGTTCCGCGCTTGAATTTCATCTGTGAAAATGTGTACTGGTGAGTATCTATAGCTACTACTGTTGGTTGAGTTCTGCCTTTTCTATAGTTATGTAGATTTGGAAATGTAGTGAAGTTCTTCTAGAATGGTCCGATAAAACCTAATAGTGGGATTCAAAGATCAATTAAAACCATTTGGTTATGTTCAGTAGGTGGAGAGACATATTCTTTTCTTACATTAAGACATCAATTAAAATCATTTTATACAAAACTTTTCGTATTACATAAACGTTTGATACTAGATTTCTACATACAATTGTGTGGTATTGTAGAGGATTAATATTTTCCCCCGAAATTTTAAGTGTTTAAATTCTAAATTGAGATTGGTTCAGCTATTGTTGTGCTGTCTACGGTTTTTTTTTAAGTAGCAATTCAATAAGAATAAGAACGGGCAAAAAACCCAAACGGAAAAGTATAAGCAGATTACAACCGAATTTGAAAACCAAACCATCAGGCTCCAACAAACCAGGTCCAGAACACAACAGGGCCCAGACCCAAAGCCCAACAACAATATTCAGCCTTCAAACCCTAATCGAAATCTACCCTTTTGGAATCCTCCACCGCCGCAGCCGAAAACCAACACTGCCGCTTTGACACACTTGCAGCGCCACTTCCCACCAGCCACGCCGCCATGCACCAAGCAGAGGAATCATCTTCCACCATCCTGGATTGAGGGGTGCGCCCACCCCGGTCTAATCGCTCTCCACCTCCCGATGGAACCGCAAAGAGACGACAACAGAGACGACCGGTCGGTCGGTGAAGGAAACAAAAGAAAGAGCACTTCTGTCTTCAAGCTCATCTAGCCGAGTCCGACGCCATAGGGCTACATCTCTGAAACCCCATGACCTTCAAAGAGTGACAAGGAGGTAGACAATGGAAAGAAGAGGAGAAAACAAGCTAGATCTACATCAAATCCAGCCTCCTTCGCATCTTAGATAAGTCACCATCTCTAGGTCTGAAACAAACAGATCAGAGGCCAAAAGCACATCCCACCGAGGGGGTTGAAAAGAACCCAGAAACGGGACAGCCGGACAGGAAAGCACCCAGAAAATAGGAAAGGAAAGAGCCCATAAAAGAGCAGAAACTTGAACCATACAAAGGCAAACAGGGGGAAAAAGGAAGGAGAAGAAGCAAATCAGAAAGAACAAGGATAAAAGGAAGAACTCGGAGGGTCGGAGGGCTGCCACCGGTCGCCAGAGGGGCGCCGCGCGGTAGCCCCCTTGCTGTCAAGTGGTTAGTCGCCTAGATAGAAGGCAGAGAAATAAAGAAAGGTGAGAGAGAGTTTTTCAGTGCATTCCATGTCTACGGTTGAAGTGTTTAAAACAAGCTAGATTGATAAGTCAATGCAAGTTAGTAATACACTTACATGTATTCCAACAAAATGAGCGTGTCTTGATTGTCGAAGTTAATTACCTTCCTAGTCCGAATATTGGAATAACATAGTGTTTTCCGGCGAGTAAACTCTGGTGTTTGAATTTAATGATTGCATTTTTAAATTTTTCAAAAGCGATTAACAACACGGTTCACACCTCTCTGAACAATGTTCGAACGAGGGTGTTTGATGTTTTTGATGGCTAGAAAATACTAAGAAACAACTCTATTCCTATGGAGGTTCACTGAGAGCTCCAGAAACTAAAGACTACAATTATGGCTACATTGCAGAGAAAGGGTAAAGTTTGACATGTGTTGTAAAGTGTTTGGTTGTCGAACCTTTTTCCAGTCTTCGTTACTCCTATTTATAGCCACCGAATGTAACTGCCTTGGTAACCACCGTGGTAACCGCTAGCTGGCATGTTGCTCCAACCGCCTTAGGGACCCCTTGTCTCGTCTTGGTGCTAGTTGGTACTTGATAGCCTCGAGGCGGGTCAGGTTGGCGTTGAGTCTTGTTGCCTTGTCTTGGATGGGATGGAAGCTTTTGTTTAGCCACCATGGTGAAGTCTTAATCACACCCTCAATAGCCCTGATGACTCCACGCTTTTGTTGTCTTGAGGGCTCTACCATCTTGATTATATGAGAGAGCCCCCTTCATTTCGGCCTAGTCTCCATCCTCATCTTGCTAGCCACCTCGAGGAACCGTCTTGATAGCTAGGCCTTATTACCCACTTAGGCAGGATGAGAACTTGGTCTCTTTTCCCCCACCAGGTCTCTACAGTTAGTCTTAGGGAGCTTGTTATGGCACCAACTTGTCATCTTGGTATCAAGCCAGTCTTGTCCGCTTGATACCCCCTCCTATTAAGTCATTCATGTCAACCTGGTCTCCAGACCTAGTTTTTAGAATCTCATCAAGTTAGTACCTTGCCGGCCTGCCCGACTTGGTATCTCGTTAGGGGGCCACCAAGCCCATCTTGGGGCTTAGTCTCCATATGGCCCCCTAAGGGGCTCGACACCAATTCCCCATCAATTTGATACCCTGTCAACATAGTACATTGGCTAGCAAGTCTCCGCACTTGAGGTTCCATAATTGGTCTTGATAATCTAGGGATGGTCCACTGGCTTGATATCCAGACTTAGTTTTTGTATGACTCTCTAATTGGTACCCGGCTTGGCACCTTGTTGCCTGGCCACCAAGCCAGTATTGCCTGCTATTGCCTGCTTGGTATCCATACTTAGTCAAATTTCATATCTTGGTACCAAGTCTGCCTTGTCGGCTTGGTACCTCCTTGGCTCCATACTTAGCCAATTTTCATCTTGTGGTACCCAGCCCGCCTTGCCGACTTGGTACCCTCTTGGTTGGCTACCAAACCCATCTTGTCGACTTGGTACCCTCTTGGTGTTCATGTCTTGGTACCAAGCCCTGCTTTGCTTGCTTGGTACCCTGTTGGCTTCATATTTAGCCAAATTTCACATCTTAGTACCAAGCCTGCCTTGCCGGTTTGACATCCCCTTGGCTGCATACTTAGCCAAATTTCTTATCTTTTGGTACCAAGTCTGCCTTGCCAGCTCGGTACCCCTTTGGCTCTATACTTAGCCAAATTTCATGTCTTGGTACCAAGCTTGCCTTGTCGGTTTGGCACCGCCTTGACTGGCTAGTGTCTTGTTTCTAAACTTAGTTATTTAGAGTCATATTTCATACTAAGGGGGAGGAGGCATCGAATGAGCTATGGGGGCAGTCGGCCACTAGTTAATTAATATGAATGGGAACTGTGGAGAATAAGTTTGAGAGTTGTACTACTTTCTTATAATTTAGAAAGATTTGGCTAACAATTTAAAAAGTTTGAAAGGTTTGACTAATAAATTGTATGTACCATTTTATTTATGCTCCATTTTCATCCTTTCTCAACTTTCTTGTCATTTTTATATGGTTCACTACTGTTTGTCATCCTGATTACTAAGTTGAATTAAAAAAAAATTGATTTTTTTGTTAGATAGTTTGAATACTTTCTTAAAACTTTTTGGTGATAGATGATATAAATTTGAACTTATTCATTGTTGGTGATAAATTTTTCCCAAAGCTAGTGTATTTGATATATCTTTGATGTTACAAAGCATGAAAGTTTTCGTCAACAGTTAACCAACGGTTCTATAATGGTTAACCGTTGAATCATGAACCACTAACTATTTTGGTTCAACATGCGGTCCGGTTCTGACAACATTCGATATACCCAAATCTCTCAATTAAAAATCATAGATTTTTATGTGAAATTTGAACAAATGCCTTGATTGTTTAAGAATAAAAATTAAGATTGGTAAATTCAACATATGCAAACCAAAAATTAGGTCTCCAATAACAAACTCCTCTCTTTATCATTGACCAACACATTTAATAGAAAATTCTAATCCCAATACTAATTCGAACTAAAAAGGATTGGAGGATTAAAGCCATTCAAAATGAAGCCTATCCCAAAATGAATCAATAATAAAAAATAAAATGAAATGTGAATGGCGAAGCGTGGAGCATAAGTTTCAGCGTGGGCCGCTGAGTTGCAAGGCCGGTTCGAAAAGTGGCCACTGGACCGGGCCCATTTGTTGACACGTCATCGCAATCTCCAGCTCTAAACTCTTCTTCGTCCTGCATTAATGGTTTCTATAAAAGACGATTAGAAGGTTGTTTAGTCGTAACTGCTAAGAGAGAGAAAGAAAAGCGGGAAACCAGAAGAAGTGAAGCAAGGAAGAGAGAGGAGAAGAACGAAGCTCAAGAACGAGTAAACAGAAATCTTCATGGAAAATGCGTTGCCGGAGGGAGCTCCGCCGCAGGCCGCACAAGCGATTCCCGCCGCTCCCGTCTTCGCGTGCAACGTCTGCACTCGTTTTAGAGGGGCGAATCTTAATGGTCTGCAACACCATGTGCATGATGTACACCACAATTACCCTGAGAGGTGTGGCAAATGCGGCCATGCCTTCAAGAAAAAACCCCAGCTGGACGTCCACAAGAAGGAACGGGGTCATTAGCATACCGCCGCCGCTCATCTTTCAGGTGATGTTTCAGAGTAGAATTTTGGGGTTTAGGGTTAGATTTAGAGGAGAATTGGTTATCTGAGTTTCCTTCTGAATACTGAACTTCTAAATTTTCTCAGGCGATGGCGGCCGCCGGAAATCGACGGGGCCAAGAACTGCTTGGTGTTCCCGTTCTTCCTTTTTCCAGGTGAGTTCAGTAGTTTAATTCTGGTTTCGGTCTTAATGCATGGAATGCAACTTTTTGGAGACTTGGGTCACATCTTTACCAGTTACGCATGTAGATCATTAGCCTGGATTTTGTTGCTTGATCTGGAGACTTGGGACCCTGGAGGTCCATGCTACAGAAGCTTGACGGTGCTTTGGAGTGCGGATGGTTTTGGTCATTTCCCTTGGAAGATAGCGTCCATGGAGTCTGTTAATGGGGATGCAGTAGATTTTGGTAAGAAGAATGCTGTTCAAGAAGCACCTCCAAAGAAACCCTCCTTCGGGCAGAAAAAGCAACTTGAAGCAGTTGGATCTTCTCCGGCTCCTGCAAGGTAAATATTCAAGTTTGTGATGAGGCATCATAATCGTTCCACCAAAGCTTCCTATTCCTAATTGGATTCTAATGCAAAGGTTTATCTCTTTCCTATTTTGATGAGATTTTAGTTCTCCTTATGAAAAGGATTTCCCCCCGCAAGAAACACGTCTCGTTTTCGATAGGTTATTCTCAGTATTGAATTATTATGGAGGGGAGTTTCTCTAGAGTCCTTGGACTACGAAGCTTGCGTTCTTGAGCCCAAACAGCTTTGGTCCCTTTACTGCCTTTCTCCCTGCGTCAGTTTGCTACTACCATTGATGTTGTAGTTTGTATTTGCAGCACATATTCTTGTATTCTTCAATCCTAAAACGTTTCATGGATCAGTGTACCCAAAATAGTTGCCTACTTGGTTGAGTAACCACCTCTCTGTATTTTTCTTGTACAGTAAGAAGCAGAAGGTTTCTGGGGCTCTTTCAGATAAAAGCATTGACCAACTGAATGATGTCACTGCTGTCAGTGGAGTTAATCTTCAGGTAAATATATTCCTCGATTATTAAGCTTGACCAATGAGTAACGAGTAATATCAGATTACTAAAGAACCTGAACCCCCCACTCTGAGAGAAGGGGAAAGAACTGATGTTGCAATGTTCCTTGCGTATTTGTTTACAGAAAGAGGAAGAACAGTTGTTCTCCACAAACAAGGAGGACAGTCGGGTCTCCAAAGCATCTAGAAGAGCTGTACAAGAAGACGAGGAGAGGCTGATTCTGCAGAAAACTCCTCTTCAGAAAAAAGTGGCGGAGATCAGTTAAATCTTCCTTTCATTAACTTGTACTTTGTTTGTGAAGGAGATAATAGTGTCAATTATGTAATGTTAATGTACTTGTACTTTGCATGTCCATGCAGTGTCCAAGTGTGGTCTGAAGAATGCTAGCAATGATGTAGACCTTGGTGAGAAGCAAAATATTTTATCCCGTCTTCACTTAAAAAATATTAGACATTTTCTAATAGATGTTTTTTTAGAGCGTGGAGGAGAGAGTGCGGAGTTTGATAAGTAACATGATCAGAATGTCGAAACAGGTCAGTTCCTTGTAACCTTTGCTAATTTATACTTGTTCTCCCATTCCAATTTGTGTTATTTCTCCTTCGAAATTCCATTGGTATTTTGATTTTGCTGCACGTTTCCTCATTCTGATTGCATCCCGCAGAGGATTGATTTAGAGAAAGCCAGGCACAAGACTGTGGTTACCTCTGATGTTAGACAACAACTTGTGGTAATGAACCAGAAAGCTAAGGATGAATGGGACAGAAAGCTGGCTGAAGCAGAGCTCCGGCGAGTAAATGAAGTAGGTCTTCCTCCATTTCTTGTGTTGTGGTATTCTCGAACTGGTTCTACAGCAACTTTTTTTTATCAGAGTTCTACAGCAACTTAGGGTATGCTTGTTTGGTCTAAAAAATAAGGAACTTAAATAAATTTTGAGTTAAAGGCTCAATGAAGCACACTTCTTAACTCAAATATTTTAGAACTACTTTTCATCATTAGTCTCACAAATCATTGAAGTAATAGCCTCCTCAATCAAAGAAATTTTATTTCTGACTTTGTCCCTTTGAGATAGCATTGTATTCTCAGAGCTATAGCCATTCGAGTTACGCACACAATGATGCATTTCCTTGCTTGATATGTGGGTGCAGCCTGACACTGGTGATGGAGCCGAAGGCGACAAGGAAACAGAAGGTGGGAGAGGAAAAGCACCCAAGGTAACTCAGGACCTTTTCAACAATCTTTGAAAGTCATTCAGTAAACTCTGAATCTGAAATATACAACAGAAACACAGTATTCCAATATTTACCCAAACTGCACAGTTGAGCAAAGAGGAGGATGTCAAGATGAGAACAAGGGCAGCAAACATGATGGCAGCCAGGGCTGCTGTTGGGGGATCCTGTATGTTTGAGGAAAAAGGTTCTCCTTGCATGCCATAACGTTTAATCCATGTGACTACCCATTTTGTTATGCTGGACTTGTTTGTGTTCTTATTTTTGCCCTTCTTGATCTGGTTCAGTTGGTGGTAAGAAATTTGGGAGGAGCCAGGTTGCCGGAGCACAGCTTATGGAGGTACGGAGTTTAACCATCAAGGACGTGGACATGATTGGAGGATGGAACGAGAGGCCCAGTGCTGTCAAAGTCGACTCTGATCTATAGGCTGTACGAGAAAATCCAGTCCAATCCACCACCAGAATGATAGGACCGGACCTGCTGCAGATCCAAACCAGCCACCATGAATTCAGTTGGGGATAATTTGGTTGCAGAACACAGTTTGTTGATTGTACTTATAGAGTAGTTGTTGTTTTCCGTTGGTCTTTGAACACACTGCTCTACTGAGCTCGTTAGATTGTAAATTCCCGGTAAGAGTACCATTAGCTTCAACCCAGGGAGAGAAAGTAGTAGTTGCTTGAACAGACTGCTTATTACTGTACAGATGTTGTGCTGATGACTGAGGACCAAGAGTTGAATACATAGTATATACATGGATGTTCTCCGCTTTGCCTAAAAACCGGATCTTACTTTAGATACAGCCCTTAATTTAATGTTCATTGTTGTTGACTCCATTGCGTAACTACGGTATTTAAACTCCTTCCATCATTCGTTTCACTATTCCAAGTTTATGAACCAAATCGTCAATATCCTAAAATTCAGGGGACCACTTATCGAACTAACCCATTTTATGTTCTGTATTACTTTTTGGGTTTCCGCCAAAAAAATTTTAGCCCCTTCTTTCATTCTGTCTCCGGCGACGATTATTCTTTCGAAGAGCAACCCAGGGAGAGAAAGGTAGATTAGCTTCAACCGCCGGCAAACATGTAAAGAGCTCCAGTTTACGCTGACATCAACGTTCATCGTCCTCGGGAGTTCTGAGCCGTTCAGTGGGGGTTAGTGAAATTTAACCAAATACCTTTTGAAAACCCTATTCTCAATTTAGCTTCATCATTGCTTCTTCTAATCCCGCAATTGGTTTCATGTTATGGTAGCAAAAACTAGGGTTACAGCCTCAATTTTCCTTTTCTTTACGTTTGGTTGTTTTTCTTATTGGACCTCAATGAACAGTGATCAGAATGACTGTGAGGTTGTCAGGAAGTTTGGGAGGGGGAAATACAGCGAGGTCTTTGAAGGTATCAATGTCACGAACAATGAGAAGCGCATTATTAAAATCCTGAAGCCTGTCAAGAAAAAGAAGGTAACTTTTCATTAATGGTCTATACTTAGCGAGTCATGTTTGAGGCGGTTTATAGTTACTTAATGCTGGTCATGTAGATTAAGAGAGATTAGGATGCTGCAGAACCTTTGTGGAAGGCAGAACATAGTGAAGCTGCTCGATATAGTCAGGGATCACACCCAAAAACTCCGAGCCTGATTTCTTAGTATGTGTACAGTACATATATGAAAGTTCTGTACCCAACATTCACGGACTATGAAATTCGATACTACATGTATGAGCTTCTTAAGGTTGTTTATATGCAACGATCTCGCTTTTTTACCTATCTGCAGCAAAGATGATGATTTACCTATCTCATTTTCATATTTGACTTCTTTTTTTACTTGGAGAGTTCATGTGTGTTGTTCAGGCGCTAGACTACTGCCATTCACAATCGCAGGGCATAATGCATAGAGATGTTAAACCGCACAATGTGATGATTGACCATGAGCTGCGCAAATTACGGTTGATAGCCTGGGGGTTGAAGGAGTTTTACCACCCTGCCAAAGAATATGATGTCAGAGTAGCTTCTCGGTATGTGTATTAGACTTATTAAGACTTCAAGAACCAGACTTTATCTTCTAGTATTTCCTTAGATGAAAGCGAGTGATCGTTTATAGTAGTAGGGTCTTTTGCCTTATCGTTTTGATGAGAAGTTTGTAATCACTCTGTTTTTTACACAACAAGTGTACTCTATGTCTTCCTGGGGAAGTAGGGACCATTACTCTGACTCGATGAGTTCTAATGCCCTAGATCTGCTTGTGAGCGCCTTCCCTGCTAGTAGATTTCACAATCTTCTGGATCTTACTTTGAAGTTTCATACACTTGATCTCATTTTCTTGTTATAATTTTTATCCTACAACCAGAGTTACTTTTGGATTCTGTAACTGATCCCGATTGGTATTTCCATCAAGCAAAATCATTGCAATGATAAAATATAACGTTGGTGTCCAAGCCGTTGCAAACATTTCATACTTACTTCCGTTTTACCTTGAAGAGTTGTTGAGATTTACCGTAACTTGTGTGTTTACCATGTTGCAAGCAAAAACGAACTGAGCATCAGTGGACCAATATTCCCTTCTCTTTCTATTTATTTTGCTAGTTCTTTTCCTCATTATTAAATGATTCTGGTTTTTACTACCGCAACTCCTAGTGTTATTACTAGTCATGACAACTCACCTAGTCTTTTCATTGTCTTTTCGGCCTGCAGATTTTGAGGAAGGAAACATTTTTTTTTATGGTCGCGACCATTCCAACCAGCTTGGAAAAATTGCCAAGGTAAACATGATTTGTCAAAGTGATCTAACAGTTTCTTAACCGACCGGATGGTTCTTTCATTAACTTTTATTTAACTCGTGAAATATGATACAGTTGGAGTTTTAAAGCTATGGAACCAACTTAGCACTTAACTTCACATTTGTGTGCTTCTTTGAAAAGGTGACGCCCGTGTCAATGGTAATATTTGCTCCAGCATTGAGTTTCTTTGATGCTATGCAGAAACAATGTAATTGGTCCCAGAAGCTGCTTTGTTTTTTTCTTAATGCTGCCAAAATCTGGAAGCTAAACATCCCACGGTGTCTTATGTGAACCTTTGGTGTCTAGCAGTGTAAATGACATCGTGTAAAATAATAAGAGTTCGATTCAACACACATGCGTTTGCAGAAAGGCGGAATATGTATTCTCTTATCTGCATATTTTTCTTCAGGTTCTTGGTACAGATGAATTATATGCATATTTAAACAAGTATAACTTGGAGCTGGATCTCCACCTTGAAGCCCTTGTTGGCAGGTAGTCAAGGTTTTGTTAACATGCTCTTTCAAGTACTGATAAGGTCAATTATTAACTTCTAGATTGTGAAGGAAGTACAGCCACAATATTTATCACCCCTTTTGTTTTCTTACAAGCATGAAATGATAAATGTTGATTGCTGTAGAGTTTCCTTCACTGAGGATTAGATCATGACACTTAATTTTGATTCCCAAATCTTTGCAGGCACAACAGGAAACCGTGGTCCAGATTCATCAATCCTGATCACAAACATCTATTTTCTCCAGAGGCAAGTCTTTTGATGGCCCCTTTGTCTTCAGATGTCCGGATTTTCCCCACTTCTTTTCCTCAAATTTCAACTTCTTATAACCATCATCTTACTTGTAATGCTGGTTAATGTTTCATGAACTGTCTCCATTTCCCCACTAACAGGCCATTGATTTTCTTGACAAGCTGCTTCGCTGTGATGGATTCGTTTCTCCTCAATAAGCGCTTTGGCCACTCCATTCCCGCCCAATCGAGAGATGTCTTAGAAAGTAAAGAGAAGACAAGACAGCTAGCTAGGGTCTTGTTTTCAGTTTTCACCATCAACTTGGCATGTTTTCCTCCTTGTTGTGCTTTTAGTTTAGTTGTTTGGACCTTTTTATAAGTTGCAACTGCCCTTTCCATTTCCAGGCTCATCCCTATTTCCATAAAGTGAGAGCAGCAGAGAATAGCCGAATGCGGACACAAAAAAGTTGCTGGTTTATGCATTTGTACGATTTGTGACCATGCTGAACCCCCACACACAAATCCATCCACCTCAGGAATAGCAGAGAATAGCAGTGCTTTCTGGTAACTTGGTGCTGCTCCTTGGGTCAATTCCATTCTTTGTCTAGATTCATAAGCGGTTTTTTCTTCTGTTTCTGGGAATCTTGTGCTTGCTTGCAACGTTGGGTTTTCATTAAAGTAGATCAATCACGAGAGAGAAGCAACGGAAGAGTAGATGGGTGGCCATTTTGCATGTTCGCAGTAGGCTGATATAGATCGACATGCCTCATTCATATCGCATCTCTCGCTCTCCAAGTCTTTTCCCACTTGTGGATTTGTTGTTATTTCAGTATTACTTGGTGGAGAGATATGGGAAACAAGTGTAGACATGAGATGATAACCCCCTAAGCAGGTGGTTTTGATCAGAGAAGCGCAGCTCGGATTCAATTAAAGATTGAATTGAATTTCGGTGAGAAAGAACACAAAAACAGAGTCTTGTGTTCGTGATTGGGATGGAATCTTTCGTGCAACTTTCACGATGGGAAAGAGGCTCGATTGGTGTCGTCGATGCTTGGCCACGAACAAGGTGAGTATTTGAATGATACAAGCTCAAGACCAGACATAGATTCGGTTAGGTTTATCTCTCAATTCACAAGACAAAACCTTATGAACGCAAACTCTCGGTTTGTTATTCAATTTAATGAAATATGAAAATTACAACGAATTAAAGCTACTTAAATAGACCTAACCAATCCTACTACTCTTAGAGAAGTCCTAAACATATTACAGTTGGAGAAGGAAATCAAAACCAACAATGAAAAGGAATTAAACACAAAACAACAAAGGAATCCTAATCCGTTAAGTAGGGGTGTACATGGGTCGGGTGGTTCGGGTTTAGTCATTTTAATCACCCGACCCATGCACTACGGTTTGGGAAATATCAAACCTAAACCCACCCAGGAAGAATTTAAACCCTACGGTTTGTTTCTAATTGGGTTGGGTCGGGTTGGCGATATTTTTATGTAAAAACCCAACCCAACATAAAATATATAATTATTCTACATCATAAAAATATTTTATAACTAATTAAAATTTCAAACGAATGAACCAAGGTGAAAGGTATCAAAATTCACAAATGTTGTTTAAATTTTAATAAAATGTGATTTACTTCAACATATATCTTGTTTTTTTCACAATATTTGTTGAAATAGGCTAAAAATGTTATAAACAAACGCATCCATCATATGTTATTCTAATAAAGTTGTACACAAGAAAAAGGATTACGTGAATCATAACTATATTTAATTTATGTATAAACTTTAAGTCGAAGAATGCATTAGATTAGGGAGACCATGAGAGAAAAACATGGCAAAATATCTTAGTTTTCTCATAAGTATATGACTATATACGACATAAATATTTTTTAGATCCGAACGCATACTAGTAGTTGGAATACGGGTTATGTAATCCAAAATCCAAACCCAACCCAAAAGAGGCGGGTTGTACAAAAGAAAACCCTCACCCAACCCAAAACCTTCATTTTAGCCATAAATACGGGTGGGTTGGGTCGGGTTGGACGGATGGGTCGGTTTGCGGGTGTATTTGTTCACCCCTACCGACAGTGGCGTAGCCAGACATCGAGTCTACTGGGGTCCTTAAAAATTTACTAACATAAATGCTTGTGTACTTAATGAATTTTGAGTTAACCGGGGTCCTTGGTGAGCTAACATTATTGAGAGTATGGGGTCCTAAACTTAAATTATCGTATTAAAACCTATGTATTTAAAGGGTTTTGTTGTCCAATTATTTGCCAAGTGGGGTCCTAGGACCCCTCTCCTCCTTACCTCCCTCCGCCACTGCCTACCGATAAGGATTCGGATTTCCTGGTTTCCAAAGACGGAAACTCAGCTTCGGTACGATCTTTGAAGCTTTAGTTCGAGGCCTTCCAGTCTTCATTCCAGTCATCCAATGCCACATCTTTGTAGTAGAAGATGCATGCTCTCATGTGGTATGAACCTTGAAGCTCGACTCTTACTCAAACTCTTCGGATTGAGCTCCAAAGTGACCTCACCGAAACTGTTCCATGTCTTAGCCAGATTCTGGCAGCTTTCCGGCTTTACCATACACTTTTGGAGAGCTTGGAAAACACCCTTTCTGGCTTCTCCTGGACCTCTCAAGCACTTCAATGGATAGATCAACACTTTAGCTTCACAATGAGACCTTAACCCCTTATTTCCATTGAGCCAATCGATAGAATCAGTCGTGCAAAGTAGGATACCTGAAATAGAAAAATAACTTAAATCAATTTTTAGGTTCTTTCTTACAACTCAACATAGCACCTTTGGCATTTAATTTTGATTCAAGGATTGATCCTTTTGGGATCATATCATGAGATTTAGGATGCTTGGCTTCGGCATGCTCCCGGCAGTCACGCATATAAAATTGGCCAAAGCTCGGGAAATAAAGGAAACATTGGCGGGTGTTTTATAAAAAAGCATGGTGGGTATTTTGGATGACTAATTGGCGGGTCTTCTATCGAAAAGTATGGGCGGGTCTTTTTATGAATCATTGGCAGGAATTATTAAAAGGAATTATTCTATTATTGTCCCTTTTATGTGCATTAAGAAATGGTGGGATTAATAAAATGTGTATTCTAATATGAGATAATAAGATAAAATATTTCTATTTGGTTTATCTTTCTTGCTTTTTTTTATGAAAACGGGCGCAAGGCACCTCTACCTCTTATTCATAAATCGAACGAACGCTAAAACCGCCAACAAAGTCAAACAGGTCCAATGGTAAACATTCGAGTCAGAAATAGAAACATAGTGAAATCCCAGGGTCAAAGAGTGCCCCTTGTGAGCTACGCAGTCGGCCAGAAAGTTGGCATCCCTATAAATGTGAGTGATAAGCACAACCCTATCCGTGCGAAGCGAAGCCTGGACAGACAAGGTGAGATTAGCATGCTGCCTTGAGTCCTGAAGTTTGGGCAATCGTTGTCCTGGAATCGAGTTGGAGCTCTACTTGGCCATGTCCTGCTTCCCAAGCTAGCTCAAAACCCTTCAGTGCCCCCCAAATCTCTGCACGGGTGATGATACACTTCCCCAGGTTCATCGTATAGGCCCCTAACAAGCGACCCTCTCAGTTTCTAAGCGCTCCTCCTGCAGCGGTAGACCCTGAGGGCCGCAAGAGCTACCCATTAGAGTTCACTGTGATCCACCATGTCGGGGTCGGTCTCAACACCACGGCCACGTTTCAACGCGACCCCGACCTCCCCAATGAAAGAATGTGTTCCTCTTGCTGATAAAAAACAAAAGTAGGAATGGGTACATGGAAATCATTAATTTGAATCTCTCAAGTAGTATCTAAAATAAGAATAAAAAAATAATGCATATATCATCCTTATAAAAAACAAAAACAAAAATAGGAATGGGTACCTGAATGGTCATGACCTTAGTATTGTAGTAAAGCTAGGTCCTTTTCACTCGCTCCATATATGGTTCAAATTATGGTGCATAACTCTTGATTATGCACATTTGCATAATAAGATCTGTCTCAATAGTTTTGAGAGTGGTCAGAAGGCCCAGATCTAATAAATGAGATCAAAAAGCTTTTTTCTCTAGTTCTTAACTCTAATTTTGAAAAAAAATGCATAGGAAAAAAAGAGAGTTTATCATGATCTATTAGATTTACAAAATTTTGTGGGGGAATTCACGACCAAAATATACCAGCGCATACCACCCCGTTATAGGGTGGTAAGTGGTAACTGGTGAAAACAAATGATAAAATGTTGTAAATGACAATCAGTATATTCCTACCATCATGTATGCAACCATTATATACTCGGTACAATTTTATACCACGTGGTACGATCCTATGTTATACCAAATATTACCGCATGATATGGACTGATATTAAACGTCCTGATTTTTGTTTTTTCAAGATGATCAAAGTGTATATCATTTTGAAAAGTACAACAAATTTGATTTATCTGTGCAAAAAAAAATATATTACAGCTTAAACAAAAGAGAAATAATCCTTTAAAATTTACAAGAAAAAAGGATTTTAGACATCCCATAAATGATTATATAACTCATTAATCATTATCATGGTTGTCAAACCGGTTTAAGTCATTGAGTCGGTCAAGCAAGGGGTTTGAGGTTTAATGGTCTGATCGGGGTCCGGCCGGTTTAAGCCGTTTTAGACGTTTTCTAAATATATATACAAATAAGGTAGTAATTAAAAATTTAATCACTGAAATAAAATTTATCTTACATATATCTATTAAAAACTCATTTCCACAAAATAAATTTAGCTAATCTTCATGACCCACCCACTATATCTCTTCCTTCGTTCCTCTTCCTCTCTTCCCCCTCTCTTCTTCTCCCTCTTTAGGAGTCAGACCGATGAACTTTTTGGAGGTCGTTTTGAAACTCGACTCGGGTCGGACCGGGTCCAACCGAAGGTTCTATAAGGATTTAACAACCTTGATCATTATGCAAAGAGCCCATATCCAATGAAGACGAGGCTAATCCCATTCGGTCCGTAGTCCACGTCCGCCTGTAGGACCCATGAGACGTGCCCCTTTGGATCTTCCTTGTTAAAGTGAAACCCTAGATGCTAGAGAAATAAGGAAAGGGTATACGTTAGCTTTGATTCAAACTGACAGTTGAGAACAAGATCCAACCCGAATACATGTGCAGGACTCTTACGATGCTTCAAATCGGGGTTTGAAAACTGAGGGGTAAATATAGGTAATTTTACGAATTAATTTTGTTGCAGTGCTATTATTTCTGTCATACACATCGTGTAAACTGCATCTTGTAATTATTCATGAGCTATTGTCCTTGATTTGAGAAGTACATTTTATACACACTTAGAGTCGCAAAATAGCATTAGGTTGTCACATCCTCGGAAATGGCATTATCTATTCGCAAACATGAATACCCATCATCCTACACCCAGTCAACAAAAAAATCTTCATATTGATCATTTATGGAACGAGAAGAATATGTGTTAGAATATGACTTGAATTTGATTTGGGTTTGTTTTATGTTTTGGGTCTATTCTGTTTGGGTTTGGGTTTGGGTTTGGCCTTTTTTTCCTTGTATGTTTGGGAAAAAGTATTTGGTTTTCTATTTGGGATTAGGAGAATAGTTCTATAAATACTCTTCATCACCCTAGTTTGTAGTAAGGTCAGTCAGGTTAGTTTGTTTGGTTTGTCCGTTTAGAATTTGGTTTGTAACCTGTACTCTCCTCAAATTAGTGAAATTTGTTCTCTCCTTCCCGTGGATTAGCTAGCACATATTGTGTTAGTGAACCACGTTAAATTTGTGTTCGTTCGTGTTGGTTTGGATTATCGATTGCACGCTTCTGTTCTGACAAGTGATATCAGAGCCGCGGTTAACTTTCAAGGAATTGCGTACTATTTTAAATCCGTAGGATTTACTTTCGTTATAAAACCTCTCTTTACCACTCGGGTTGATGGAATTGACGGGTTCTTAACGGAGCTATCATTCTCAAGCATGTATTCGATGAAATTTCTCTATGCAACACAAAATTGTCGAACTAACTGATTCTTAATAAAACCTGTCATTTTCTCCATATAATCGCTGAAACCTTAAAAGTGAGGGATATTTTAACTCTTTGTTACGCAAAACGTATTCCAAAATGAAATTAAATACTATGTTCGAACTCGATTTCCTTCCTTTTTTTTAGTTATAAAAACTAAGTTTTGGTTTTAGTTTGGGATAATAACATGTTATACTTCTGTATGTATTGCAAGTTTAACAAAATACAAACACTATTATTTACATGTAGACAGTGACGTGTGTTTTGCCCCGTACCCCAAATCCAGCGGTGGCGGCGAGTTGGGCCAAATCGAGATGATAACAGTTTGTGAATAACAACCGCGACAACTCAACTCGACGCCCCTCCCCAAAATAGAAGCCGAATAATCGTCCTTTTTTGTCCGGTAGCGGCGCCTCTTCGACACCTCCGCCGTCTCCGTGACAACTCCTCCGCCCCCCACCGTCGCCACGCCCGCCGCTGCGGGTCCCACCTCTCTCTTCGGACAAAGAAAAAGAAGCCAAGAATATGCTTTACTCTTCTCTGTAAATATACTTCCTTTTCTTTTCCCCCTCTCTTCAATCCCTCCTTTTTTTATCTTCCGCTTGCTCCGATCCTTTTCTTTGTTCTCAACAACGTTTACTCTCTCCGCTCTCCGCTGCCTTCCCCCACCCACCGCCGTGATAATTCCCGTCGGTTATCATTTCATTTCCAGGAATCTTTTCTTTCTTTTTCTCCTCTGGTAGTTGAGCGGACATGGAGCTTTTTCAGGAGCTCGTGCTCACCTTGCTTGTGGCAGTTCTCTCCTCTTTTCTCATCGCCAAAGTCGTCTCTAAAGCTACCGGCGGCAGTTCCGGTCACGCTGACGATTCTCCCGAGGCCGCTTCCCCTGCCCGAAGCCGTGATCAGAAGGATTCGGGAGACGTGAGTGAAGAAGTTATCATGGAGGAATTGAATTACGCAGGAAAATTGGAATCTAGGGGTCTCGAGAGCGAAGGAAGAGTCGAGTTTGTTGCTGAATCGGTGGATAGAGTTGAGGATTTCGTCGGAGAACCTGCTCCGATTGACGAGGAAAGGAGCGGAAATGAATGCCGTGAATTGACTGGGGAAGTTGTTCCGACAGAGGTGGAGCAGAGAGGAGAAACTGAAATCGTTGCCCAAGAGGCGAAAGAAGGTGAAGCGGTTGAGATGGAATCAGCTCAGCCGCCTGAGGGAATTACCACCGTGGCGGCGGAGGAATCGACCGATGAAGTTGCTGGAGGTGAGAAAGTGGAGATTGAGATAGACGATGATTGGGAAGGGATTGAGAGGAGCGATTTGGAGAAGGTGTTTGCCAAGGCATCCAAATTCGTGGAGTCTGGATTTGGGGAAGAGAAGTTAGCAAGGGTGGGGAGTGATGTGCAGATGGAGTTGTATGGTCTGCACAAGCTTGTTACTGAAGGGCCTTGCCATGAACAGCCGCCAATGGCGCTCAAGCTCTCTGCTCGTGCCAAATGGTATTCAACATTTTCCTTGAATAATGTCTCTGCAGCTTTTTTGTGTGTTTACTCTTGGCGCTTTGATTTGCTTGATATGATTCTGATTCTGGTTGTATTGAATTGGATGATTGGATGCATAATGCCTGCTTAGTATAGCATAGGATTGTTGGCTTTAAGGAGGAAAATGCCAAGTGGATAGTGTTGCTTACCAAGGGTTTAGAACTGAATGAACCTTTAGAAACATTAGAATCCACATGTGACTATGACAATGTAGGTGTCTAAGTGCTGAAATGAAGTGGGCTGCATCTGAAATAGCCAGTGGAGGCTGAAAGAATTGAACTTTGTCCAATATAAGGAAAGGAAATGGTGGTGCAGAGCACAGACACACCTTAGAACCTGTGGGCATGCCTATACCAAGTTGCACGGTATAGTTTGATTGTAAGTTATATATATCAGGGGGTTTACAGTGAGTGACGGAGAGCCACTGATTACGTTGTGCAAGGAATTCGTGGCAAAAGCTGGGTAATATGGATCCAGAAGTGGCGATGGAGCATTATGTCACTCTTCTATCCGAAAATGTCCCACGGTGGGCTGAAGAAAAATCTATTGTAAGTATGTTTCTTCGCAGTAAAGGGATATTCTGCTTCTTCTGCTGTTGAGATGTTGATTGAATGCCTGAACAATTGGTTTTTGCAGAGAGATGATGATGCAGCTCCGTCATCTGAAGTACTAGAGTCCGGTGATTCAGCTGCAGACATTTCCTCACCTGCATCCCATCACCCTAAATACCCTTACGAACGGTAAATGACTGGACCACGCATCCCTTAGAGGGTGCCATTGAGAGGTCCTATCAGCTTACATTTCGTTGTTGTTGTTCCTTTTCACTGATGCTGTATTTTCTCGTTGCGTGCATCTGGCTATTACTGATCCAGTGGTTCCGAACCGAAGCATGATTACGAGACGAGTGAGCCGATGAGTGGCGACTCAGATGTCAAGAATACGGTATAGGCTCCAAAGCAACGCACACTGCTAACTTCCATTTCATTAACAAGGCATATTCAGGGTAACTTTACATTGTCGTATAACCATGTTTAGCATTTGAACATACAATTTCCAGGTTAAGGAATGACATGTAGTCTTTGACTGTTGTCGCCCACCAGCCACCAACACCTAATCTGCTTCCAACCACAATTTCCAGTTGCTGCTGCAGTGCTGCTTGACCTTCCACCGACACTAATTTTTCGTCGGGAAAAGGGGCTTTTTCAAGTTAAGTGCCTCAATCAAAAAGTAGTCCAAGTACGGGTTTCTCAGCTGTCTCTATTATGCATACGGTAATTTATTTCATGATCCATTGTCATCATCCCCCTTATGTTTGCTTGACAAAGAAGAAAGATAGGATTGTGGAATGCATTCTCCATATCTGCTGCATGTGTAAATAATTATCATGTATATGAACTATGAAGTGAACTAATCTGTCCCTCTCTATGTATATGAAAGAATATGTTGTCAACTTGTCATCATCAGATTCATCCACCATGGCAAAAACGATGACTTTCTGATGTTCCACGGAACATTCCCATCTTTCCTTTATCTTCCGTCTTGCTTTTGCCTTCCTTGTGAAGAGCTTAAAGGCTTCCTGTAGAGTTACAAGAGAGAGATGGGAAAGTTGAGAACTGACATTACGTGGGAATATGGTTAGGAAAGAAATAAACAAGTGGTCGAGGACGTTCCTACTTGTTTAAGTTGCTAATGATCATTCATGTGGAGTATTATAGTAGAGTTGTGGTTCCCCTAAGTAAGGTCTTAATCAACTCTGCCTAAGAGTTGGCATTGGTCAATAGTACAACTCAGCTAGCTAGCTTGTTTGCGTGTTTCTCGAACTGGTTATTGTGTTGCTAAAGTTGCTCCGAAGGTGGATAATAATCGTATAATATATGAAACGCCGGATAAGGACCAACAATGAAGCATTGAACTCTTGGGGGGAAATATTACAGGTAGAAAGAACATTAAGAGCAAGCTAGGCGGCGAATGTTGTTGTCGTGGCCATTAAAGCTCTCTTCTGGTTCTGGGGAAGCTTGCTTAGGTATTGCTATTTAATGAAGCCTCGTGGAGCAGTGTTGGGGGTTCAATTCAATTATTGCATCCTCTTACAAACTCTAGTAGAGTGTCGGTCGGTTGAATCTGGTATTACCGGTGTTGGTCATGAAATCGGCTGAAATAACGTTGTTTTAGTGAATGACTTAACGAAAAAATTAATTTAGAATTTAAGTACAAACGTTTGTGTGTTAGTGTAGCATTAGATGTTGTATTTAAATATGAGTATTTTTATTATTTAATTTGGAATGTAGTATCTTATTTACATATGAATCATGAATGTCGATTTCAATTGCCTTCAAATATGTTTTACATAGCTCAAATTCATTTAATGTTTAATGACTTTTCACATTTTTACATATTGTGTCAAATAAGTATGAACGCCGTTGTAGCATGGTTGAATCATACCACTTTCTAAACCGACGAAACGATATAAATCGGTTTCACAAAGGGAAAAGTTTTCTTATTACAGCTTCCAACTACAGCCCAATAAAGAGAGTAAGATGAAGAAACCAAATACACTTGATCACCTACAAAGAAAAAACCAGATGGGGATAACTTGATATACCTAAATGGGACACATCCTATCCTATCATGAGTACCCTCTGTTTCCCTTTATTCCCCTAAACAAAGATGCATGGGTCTAGAATCCAATTATGGCATTAAGAGCCTTTTTGGATATAATTCCGTTAGGAAATGAATTTCATTTCTTGTGACAATATGAATTCAAGTGGAAATTTATTTTCAGAGTTTATGTTTGGAACAAATCCTAAAATTTTAGAAATGACATCCTGCTTTTATGTTTGGAAGAAGATGGAAATGATTTCTTACAAGTTACAAGTGCTTGTGCAGTAATGCTCATATATCAATATAAACGCATGCTAAAATAATTTACCACAAAATAATAATCTAAGTAGTAACCCCACGAGTAGGAGATTGTACTATGAATCCACAAACTGTAATTTTGAGGAATAAAAAAAAGCCATAAAAACAAGAAATGCAAATGATAGGCTAGTTGACAAATGAATTAATGAAGGGGTTAAAAGTGGGCATAAATAATAATCCAAAAAAGTTGTAGAAGGTAGTTTACCTGGAAGAATTGGTCGGCAAAAATGGAGCAGAGATTTCAACAAAAAAAAGTTAAAGGCATACTCTATTTGAAGGTTAGTTTTAGAATAACCGAAAATTATTAAGGGATTTCTTAAAAAGATGTGCCAAAATTTGAGTAGCATAGGTTGTCAATCCGTGTGTTGACCCGGACCCGGTCGAGCTAGTGGGTTAAGGGTTAATGGGTCACCCGGTTTAGCTCGTTTTAGCCCGGAAATATGAAAAGAGTCAAATGTCATCTAACATATGAGTAATAACATATAACATTACACCAAAGTAACATGTCGTACTTAGATCCAACATATAGTGAAAATTCACACAGGCTTATATAACATCAATATTGAAATGTTCAACTAAGAATTCCAAAGATTGAGTTAGGCGAAAAGAAAATTCGGAAAATAGACGCATTTCGCAAACTAAAGAAAAAAATGACATAATTTGACCTCCAACTCGATACCTTATAACGGTCGACCCGGCGGGTGCGTACAACCCGTTTTTCTCATCGGGTCAGGGTCAAAGTGGGTCGACCCGCGGGTTGACAACCTTGAGTAGGATCCTTCAATTCCATTTCTCTTTCCAACAATTCCGACCACTTTGGTGGGAATTATAATTTCAAACTTTTTGCCTCTTGAAATTCCATTTTCTTAGTATTTTTTACGTCCAAACATGAAAATTATAAATTTTTATTTTTTTACAAATGAAAATTATAAAAAGTTTGAGAAATTGAATTTCCAACCTTTTGCCTCTTGAGAAACTGTCCGTCTGACCAAAGGTAAGATAGGCTAACGGTAAAGCTGCCGCGACATTGAAAACTTGGGAGTTGCAGATTCCAGGTTTGAATCCAAGCGAGACCCGTTGGTGTTCCCGGAGGTATAATGCTGTTGGGGGCAAAATCACATTGGCGTCGAATTTAATTGCAGGTGGCCCCCAGATTTAATAGGACCCACTGTCACAAAGTGACACGTGGGCGGTGGGCTGAGGTTCCTGAATAATAATAAAAAAAAACTGTCTGTCTGTCCCCACTCCCCGCTCCAGTATATTACCACCACGTTCACTTGGCCCACTCCCGCTGTACCCGTATCCCGAGTCCCGACCCAATATCAGGCCCAAACCCTAGCCCGCCACTTCCATCGTCATAAGGCCCAGCTCCTGATCTAGAGCCAAAGCTCAGACCCAAAGCCCAACTCACCTTGTCCAACTCCACTGCCGCTGTGTCTCCACCTTTGGGCCCACCGTAGCCGCCACCAGAGTAACCGGGGAATCCACCAGCCGCACCACCACCGCCGGCGTATCCCCCAACGAAAACCTGGTAACGTCCTTTGGGAATGCCGCCGCTACCGGCGGCGCCACCATTACTGCCTTTCATCATTCGGTCGCGGTGTGGAGGGGCGAGCGACGTGAGTGAGTGATCATGTAAACAAGAGGGTGAGAACTATAATCAACGCAAGTTACAATCCGTTTGTATCTTTATCTCTATTCATAATTTTTACATTCATACTATCAGAACAGAAGCGTGCAATCGATAATGCAAACCAACACGAACGAACACAAATTTAACGTGGTTCACTAACACAATATGTGCTAGCTAATCTACGGACAGGAGAGAACAAATTTCAGTAATTTTAGGAGAGTACAGGTTACAAACCAAATTCCAAACGGACAAACCAAACAAACTAACCTGACTGACCTTACTACAGATTAGGGTGATGAAGAGTATTTATAGAATTCTTCTCCTAATCCCAAATAGAAAATCAAATACCTTTTCCCAAACATACAAGGAAAAAAGGCCAAACCCAAACCCAAACAGAATAGACCCAAAACACAAAACTAACCCAAATCAAATTCAAGTCATATTCTAACAATCTCCACCTTGACTTGAATTCTCTCTCAAATACCAGATGTATCAGACGCAACCAAAGTTGCCAGATGTACCAAACTCCTCCAAATCAGCTGTGCCAGAATCTCCCTGCCTCCAAATGCCCCTAAGTGCGGTCAACAACTCAAACCATTCGGCAAATCCAACTCATGTTGAGACTAGCCATTCGGAACCAGCTTGGTGCACTTATCACCAACAGAACATGTCAAGACAGAACCTTGTAGACTATACAAGGCACCCCGCTTGACACCTTTCAAAATCACCTTAGAACCCTTGTAGACAGACAACACTCCACCTTCACCTTTGAAACTGAAACCCTTGATGGTCGAGTAGACTCAAAGATATCATATTCTTAGTCATCTCTGAAATATGCCTAACATTGGTCAAGGTGCGAACAGAACCATCATGTGTTCTCATCCTGACGGAGCCTCTTCCAACAATCTTACAGATAGCACCATTGGCTATAGAAACATGTCCTCCATCTATCTGCTCATAAGTTGAAAAACACTACCTGCTTGGACACATATGATAATCAGCTGGAGTATCTAAATACCACACATCCTGATGATGTACCTGTTCATTCACTGCTAAGGCTAAACCATCTTTAGAATCAGAGTTAGGTTCTTCCGCCACAGCAGCGGATGATTCCTTCTTCTCCTGATATTTCTTTAGCTTAGGACAATCAAATTTCAAATGTCCCTTCTCCTTATAGTAATGACAGATATCATCCTTCAAACCAGCAGAATTCGAATTTATATTCGTCTTCCTATTACTAGATTGTTGTCTCCTACTACTCGTAGCAGCCAACCCAGATGCCTGATTTTCTGAACCAGAACCAGACGCCTTATGTCGAACTTCTCTAGTATGTAGAGCAGATCTGACATCTTCCAAAGACAAACTATCTTTCCCTGCAATAAAAGAATCCACAAAATTCTCATATGTCTGTGGCAAAGATACTAACAGAATTAAGGCAGCATCCTCATCATCTACTTTAACATCAATATTCTGCAGATCTAACAAGATGGTATTGAGTTGATCTAGATGATTCCTGAGAGACGTACCTTCCTCCATACGCAAACTGAACAAACGTTGCTTCATATGCAACTTGTTGGTTAAAGACTTTGTCATGTATAGACTTTCAAGCTTTAACCACAAACCCGCGGTAGTCTTCTCAGCAGCAACCTTAGTGATAATGTCATCAGCCAAACAAATCAAGATTGTAGAGTGAGCTTTCGGGTTAATTGCATGGTTGGTCACTGACATTACAAAAAACATTCATGTTTGGTCACTCGAAATATTTAAATCCATTTTTGGTCACTAACTTTACAAAAACCGTTCATTTATGGCCACTCTCCGTTAGCTGTCGTCCAACGCCGTTAACGGCGTCCGTTAAGTGATGACGTGGCTGACGGATTCGCCTAATCATCACCTTTTAACCCGAAAATTGACTGACCCGACCCGCCACGTCA